CAGCACCACACTCTAATTCAGTGAGATCTTTAGAACGAGGTGTGTCCCAATACTTTTGTTTCTAGTGTATTTCTCAATATACGTGTAGACATTGTGGAGTTTCTCTCTGTGAAGTTTCCGTTTGCTGGTGAAAACACTGCAAACACAAGGTGGCTGATATTTCTTAGCTCAGAAGGCCGTGCTTCTGCAGTCTGAACTAAGCAAAGCCTCGACAAGCAGGGCTATAACTTAAGAATCTGTATGAATTCATGATCCCCTGACCAAAAATGACAACTGTAATCTGATATATTCCAAATTTGTCCACCAGTGTTGCATTTTGATCACATGGTAACAGTTTATTTAAAAGCTACCTATATAGCGTATAGCATAGTGTATATGTATAGCATAAGTACTATACAGCATCTTTAGAAAGAAATATTTGAGTTCTTAGTAACATCTTATGTCAGTATAAATACAAATATAACAAACCTAAACCAGGAACATGCAACAACAACATCAAATATCAAACAATGCTGGCTGGGGAACAAAGGAAACACAGTGGTATAACTACTAACACAGGAACACCTGAGACAAATGAGAGGGCGGGGCTAGGAGACAAGGAACAGGTGAAGACAGGGTAGGACAGGGGAGGAGCTAACGTAATACATGGTAGCACATGGCAAGGGAAACAAAGGCACGTGGCAAATGTAAACAAACACACAAGGTGCTGGGAAACAAGAAAACAAAGGAAGAAACGTAAAAAGACAGGGAGACAAAGAAAGACAGGAAGTTACATTAGACCAATGTGTGTATAAATATGAGTTATGAGTTCTGTCTAATTAATGTAATTGTACCAAAAAGGTAAACACTGAATAATCACTGTTATCTCCAGTGCTACACGTTTCTTGGCAAAATCATTATGATTTTGCTGCCTTGGACATCAATAACGGAATAAATTCCTTTGGAGGGGTCCTTATAGAAAAATGGTGCCTCCCAAAACACTGACTCATTAACCAGCTCTAGACGGCTGAACTTTCATGCTGCATATGTTATGTGTCATGACATCACATTGTGTGCCATGTCAAATATTTTTGTTTCTATTTAACTAAATGATTTAGGTCATTTTTAAAACGAATAGAACAGTCTAATCTAAAGTAGTGGGCATACTGTGAGTAGCCTAGCCCAGCCTAGCCTAGCTAGCACACAGCAAAAGAAAACACTTAGCTGATAGGACAGCTTATATCTGTGAAACATGTAATGACACTGATAGAACATCTGGTGATACTCATCAAACCCTTCGTATATGTAGAACACCTGCTGGTACTAGTAGAACACCTTGTAGGCATTTGTAAAACACCTAGTAGTACTTGTAGAACACTTCATATTTTTAGAACGTCTAGTGGTCCTGGTGGAACACCTCATATAAAAGCTTCTAAAAGCTCAGCTAGCTCAGAGACCTTCCCAGAACTGTCTTTCACTCAGAAATACATCTCAGTACAGAAGGAGTGTGTGTTATGATTTCTGATACATGGATACGTAGACCTCAGTGCAGATTTTGAAAATGTATTTGAAAAACAAATGCAGTGACCCACTACTGGCTTGTGACCAAGGGTTTCTGCAGCAACAGGCAGGTTCTGTCATTCCATCAGAGAAAAATGTCTAAAAAGGCTGATTTAGTAGATTTGTCATGATGGCTTTTCATTTTACAATGGCGCTCCTTCAGCCTTTGCATGGTTTTCCTTCTGATGCCATCGTCTGAGAAGAACCTGGACACTGAATTCACTTTACTTCTACCTGCTGGCCGAACTGAGTGCTGCTGCTGTTCGTCCATCTTCCTTGCACTCTTTTTTTTACCAGATTTCCCTCAGGGTAATAATTCTACTCTCTCCTCTGCTAAGTGAAACAGGTACGTTACAAAATGCCCCTCACGTGGCACCAGGAGCGAATAGCTTCCACACACGTGATGGACCACACCAGAGTTTGATGGAAGTGAACCCCAGACCACCGATTTCAGGAGGACCGGAGATCTGTTTTTTGGACCACTCCCAGGCTCAAAAACAGCTTTAACACTTGACCAAATGTACCAAACTCACAGAGCAAGTGGTCCTGGGTCTAGTGTGAAAATGCTCTTAGAGATATTACACCCTAGTCACATCAATAAACAACACAAGCAATCTAGTGACAAATGTCACAAGAAGTGCTTTGATGAAGTAGAAGTTGCTTTTTTGCACAAGAGAAATGACTGAAATAAAGATGAACAGAATGTTCATGATCTTGATGTTACTTCAGCAAAGTTAAACTTGGCCCTGCAGAGCTTTCTGTTCATCAGACCTCTCTCTCATCTTGGATACCAGTCTAAATTATTCATAGAAAGCCTCTCAGTTCCTTTTACCAGAGCATTTTGGAGTCTCAATGCTTACCGCTAGACGAGGCTCCTAGGCGCTGCAATCTGTGTTTACATTTCCACCGGGATTTCCAGCTGATGTCACAGAAGCCAGGAACAGCGCGTAATAGTGGCTCTTTCACCACCACTGCCCTCACACTGCACTCACAGGCGGTACCACTCCCCCTCCCACCTCGCCGGCAGTTACGACGCTCTTGAGGATACATAACTGCCTTCATCCTCCTCTATTTTCACACAAACAGAGCGCTCACTTCCCTCTGTCAGAGCTATGTAACTTAGCTTAGCTGCTGGTGGCCGAATCATCAGAATGCCTCCACTGGCAACTTCTGAACACCAGTTGTAGCGTTCATTGCTTTAAAAAGAGACACAGCTTTTACACAAGTATGGTGCTTTATTTTATTATTCTGCTTCTTTGGTATCCAAGCATGATTGCATCACCTTTTTAAGATGTTGTTATGAAAATTTCATAATGTTCCTAACCTTAAATTGCCCTCTTGCAACTTTTTTTGAACGTGTTGCAGGCATCAATTTCAGAATGAGCGCTTGTTAAAAAAAAAACAATTAAGTATTTTTACTGTTTTTGTTCAAATACAGGGCAAAGAAGATTCATTGCAGATCACTGCTGTTTTGATTTGCAATTTAACAGCCCGTCTGTACCTCTCTGCCCTGAATAGGGCTTAAAGAAATGTGTTTTAAGCCAAAACCTGATCTAAGGAAAACACCTGCACACATAAACAGTGGCAACAATGATTAAAAACAATTCAGTTTTTCTGTCAGGAAGGCCTGGATAAATTACCAGTACAGTTAGATGCAAAAGTTTAAGTACCCCTGGTCATATTGCATGCTTTGATAACAGATCATCTAATGTAAATAAAACAAGTCACTTATTAAAAATGTGGTACCACATGTGAAAAAAGTGTCAGCGCTTGTGTGGTTTTGCACACTTTGTATGTGGGAAAATAAAACATAAATTAATATTTGTGTCGTAATTTTGCACAGGCCACATTCTATGTTCAGTTTTTTCCCCAGTGTGTTAAATTCAGCAAATAAACAGTAATCGTGCATTAAAATGTGCAAAGGCGTGTTCTCTGTAGAGGATGTGTTTAAGGGGGAGCTTCACTGATTTTGCAAAATTACTCAATACATCAATGGTTTAGAAGTAAACAAAATAATTCAGAGTAGTTTGGTGTGAAATGTGCCTTTCTAGAGAAATTTACAGAGTCAAAATTGTTCACCATTATAGTACGAGGAACCAGCTGTTGTTATGTCTACACTACTAATATCACCATTTTATCTGCAATTCAAAATGACCAGTGAACTTACATGAGTCTTGTAAGTTTTTCTATGTCATGCTGATAATGATAAAATAGGGCTAAATTCAAAAATATATGTTTTCTTTGGGTTCTGTTTTTTCCTTACAACACCTTGCATGTACCCCTCTACCATGCACGCATTTTGTGTTGTTTGGTGAGGCGGGCCTGCTTCACACAGTGTCAACAGAACTCAAAGCTTATGTGAATATTCATCAGAGGAGCTGTGATAAATCACGGATACACGTTGCTGGTTAATTGTTCAGAATGGTGATGAACTGCACTGTACCGAGATACAAAAATAAATGGAGTAAATATAGTTCAGTGCATTTTTTTGGTTGCTGTCACAAATACCAGAAGTCCTGAAGTTGAGGCTAATGGTTTTGAAGCTACACGCAAATACCGAAGTCAACAAAGAGTTCTCAAGACCAGTGAAAAAAAATGCAAGCGGATTTCTTCAAATGCCGGCTGCAAAAGAAAACTGCTGTTCCCTGTTGTATTTTACACCATAGAAACTGGAATCACGGTAAGAAACGTATGTAAGTGAAGTAATTAAGTCGTCTTTAGCCACCATGCATATATCACTGCATATTTCTTTAAAAAACTGAGAGCAAGACTCCTGAAAGGAACTGTAGCTGAAATAAACATAAACAGTGGACACAAAAAGTACTGAAAAAATAATAAATGTTTATATTATATTAAGTTGTTGAGACATGCAGTTTTCTGTTAAATATGTCTTCTTCTGTTTTCCTGATACAGAAAATGTCCAGCTTGACTGAAAATGAAGTAAATGATGGGCGGTCTCTGACTTTTGCGCAGTACTGTATGTGTGTAAAATTCATTAAGAGTTTGATTAAATTAGAAAGGCTTACATTGCCATGACACAGAGACGCTGTTCTCTCTGAAAAGTCCCCCGTGGTTTGGGACAACCTTCTGTATCTTCTGCTTTGTTGGCACAGAAGTGAACCGTGTATACTTTACATCAAAGTTTTCAAGTTTTGAAAGTTTTCAAGAGTCCAAAGTGACTCCAAGTTATTGTGTGGAACTGAGAAATCAGTGACAATGGTTGGCCATTGGGGTAAAACGGGCTCTTTGGGGTAATGCCTTAAAACACATGGTACATTTAAATAGGTGGATCTTTAAAGAACTATTTTTAAAGTTATTTTTAAAGAATCTCCACATAATGTAAAGGTTCTATATCAATGTGCCAAAGATTTTCCTAAAAACCTTGAATACTTTAAAAGACAGTTTAGTAGTAGAAAGTCTTTACTCTTAAGTAAAAATTACATACTTTTTCTACACTCATCTAAATTTTTTTTTGCTAAATCATGTTCAGATGATCATGCAATCATGTGGCCTTCCAAGCCAGTTATATACAAGTGGCAAGCTAAATATCATCACATCACTTAATGTGTTTTTAATACGTCTAACAACGAATAAGTTCATCATGTCCTGCAGTATTTGAGTTTAATAAGTAAAGGGAATCCTGGCTACACCATGAACATGCCAAAATAGTTATCTGCAGCAGTTTGCAGGCGAACTGTGCCACTTTTCACCACAACAAAAACAGCATCACCTTTGAGAAGGTGGAACATACCACCAAGGTAGCTGTTTTGAACGGAGCCTACTTTTTTGAGTGGTTTGGAGTGGTCTCCATGGTAGCGGTTACGTAGAAGCTCAAGAGGAGATGGGGTCTTGTAGCTCGGCCTGGTCATCACCATCAAGTGATGAAAGGAAACTTCATCTGCATCAAAGCAGAGTTTGGAGTAGATGTAGTAATAGCCCTCTTTCTCAACCACCAGCTTATTTTCTTTGTACTCCAGCTCATGAAGTTCAAGGTCCACTTTATCGTTCCACCGCATGACTCCATCTGCACCGGGACGTTCAACATAAGCTTCACCATAAACAAAAACAATGACGAAGAAAAAATACATAGAATTAGACTTTGAGCTTGAACTGTACACAAACTGCATTCTCGGCCTTCTCTGAGTTGTGTGAATGGATGGTAACACAGCTCAGCAGTAAAGTGTTACTGAACAGATAATGGTGTTGTGCTGTGAAGACTGCTCTGAAGTAGATGTTAGACATCCATACCTCTCAGGTGTGCTAAAGGCTTGAAAGCCTTAAATGGAGGTGCTCTTGTCTTCTTTGAAGGGACTGTAGAGGCTTCCATGATACAAAAAGAAGAGGTATCTGTATTCCATTACAGTTACAGAAAAAAGACAGTAATCAGAACAGGTACATTATAAAAATAGAGTGTAAACCAGCAGGATTACATTCAAATGCATACTCGCTGTCTTTCTCTGAAATTGGCCATTTTAATGATAAATATGTCGTATGAGTTGTCATGGCCGTAACTAGCTATGAGGACACCGAGGTCAGGAGTTTCAGAAGGATTTTTTTTTCACTTTTCTCTATTCACTCATTGATTAAATGTAACAACGTCATTATGATAATACCTTAGTCTACTGAGGGGCACAGCCACGGTCCCACCCAAATGGGGACAGAATTTTTATTATGTGTCATTTTTCATGATAATGAAATTTTATGTATTTTCTGTGAGCGCTGTCACTGTATTATGGCCAATCAAAATCTGACAAGCTCCGCCTTTTCCTTAACCCTCCAAACACTGCTTTGCAACCATTGCTATCTGCAGTTGCTTCAGTAATTAGCGCCCGTGATGCTCATGACTAGTGTTAGGGCTGTTTCTGAAGGGTTTTAAGAGAATCAGTGTGGAAAAAAGCAACAAAACTACCCAAATAGCTGTGAATCGTTCCCAACTGACATCAGAAAAGTGGCTTGGCCCTAAACTGAACTGCCCACTCTGTTCATCTCTGTGTGTGAGACACTACACACACACAGCACTTAGTCCCAGAGCAACTTTGACTTCTTGACATGTTCCAATATTCAGCACACATGCTATAGGCTAACATAAGTTCACTGATAACCAGCATATTGATGGTATAGTATTATGTAGCTAACATTAAGAAATCAGAAGGTACACAGTATTTTGTCTCATTAACCGTATGAGTAGCTGCCTTTCCTGTTAGCTGGGGTTTAACCCAGACAGCCTTTTATAACGTATGTTTAATGTGTGCTTTTCCAGTAATCAGTGGGGACAGAGATGCAAAAGAGACAAGCACAGACAGACAGACAGACAGACAGATAGATAGATAGATAGATAGATAGATAGATAGATAGATAGATAGATAGATAGATAGATAGGTAAATAAAATAAAATCAATTTGAAACTGCTAGTGTAGGTTTCAAAAACTATTTTAGCTGAAAGTAAACATAGAAATAAATCGTTAAATGGTTAATTAAATAAACTTAAACAGGGCATCTGCAATAGCAGTTTATGGAAGAATGGAGGGATGGGTAAGGAACAAATGAAAGGGAAAGATGTGTAACAGTTATGGATGGGTAAAAAAAAACAATGATTTGGCAGCAGTAAGTCATAGCTGTGTTTATCAGAAGTATTTTCAATGTTACTGTGTTTAGGTCAGTGCTGCATTATTTCTCTCGACCCCACAGCACCACAGATTCATCGCTTTCCTGACCCAACACACTGATTCAGCTTATGAAGGGCTCAATTACCAATTTATGAGCTGGATCAGGTGTTTTGATGTAAGGAATGTTTGAAACTGTGTGGAGCTGTAGATCTCCAGAAGCAGAGCTAACAAGCCCTGATTTAAACAGCTGCAAAACTTGCTTAGTAGGATCTTTAGCGGACACTGCTAAGCTAGGTAGCACTAGCAAAACAAAGCTGCGCAGCTACGTTTACCTAATATACTTCAATTTCCAATTTTACATAGGGTGACACGGGACCCTGAGCGAGTGTTACATCAACAGATATGACAAACATTATTCAGAAGGTTGGACAGGTCAGCGCAATTCTCTCTGGCAATAATGTTACAACTCTCAGTACGAAGCACTCTGCCGTGTTCGAGGCAGATCATGGCTCACTGAGTGGGTGTGGAAAAAAAATGAAAGCAAAACGTGTAATACATTCATGTCGGAATGAAAGAAAAAGAGTAGTAATCTTTTTGAAAAGTTAAGTTTGATTTAACTCTCATTATTTGTATTTACAATATATTTGGGACAATTTGATACTTAATATTTTGCTTGTGGATTTTATCATTTTATTTGAAACTTTTGGCCCAAAATGAACTATGGGTTATGGTTACATTTTAACAGGTAATCAGTAATCTGTAACAGAATACATTTTTAAAGGAACCGTTTCTGAGATATAGAGCCTTTAAAATTGAGTATTTAATATTGGTCCTAAAACATGTGCTTTGAAAAAGACTTTTATGGTAGGTGCATATAATTTTAAGGGATTACTCTTTGCTCTAATAACAATAATAATAATAATAATAATAATAATAACAATAATAATAATAATAATAATAATAATAATAATAATAATAATTTTATTTATATAGCACTTTTCATGCACATAGTTATAGAAAAGATCATTAGTACATAATTAGAATCAGAAGAAAATGAAAAAGATTAAATTATAAGATAAACACCACGAGACATTCAGTTTTAGTTAAATGCTAATTTAAAGAGATACGTTTTTAGGTGCTTCTCAAAAGTGAGCACTGAGCTTGACTGTCTAATAAAAGGTGGAATTGAGTTCCACAGTTTAGAAGCATAATAACTGAAAGAGGCCTCTCCATGTTTTCTGTATTTTACAGAGGGTATCTGTAGAAGGCCACTATCTGCAGATCTTAGATTGCGTGCCGGAACACAAACAGACAGACACTCTGTGATGTAAGCAGGTGCCAGGTTGTTTTGAGCTTTAAAGACTAGTAGCAGAATCTTGAAATCTATCCTGAATGATAAAGGCAGCCAGTGCAGTTCTTTCAAAACGGGAGTGATGTGATCTCTCTTTTTAGTTTTTGTTAGGATGCACGCTGCTGCATTTTGTACGAGTTGTAAGGGATGTGTAGTTTTCTTAGGAAGTCCAGCAAAAAGAGCATTACAGTAGTCAAGTTTATACTGTGTTTAAACAGAAGATTTAGAGGTGAATGTTTGCTGTTTTATGGCTTGAAGAAAAATAGATTCAAATTTTCAAATCTCCACACTGCAGCATATAAGACCCTTCAAATCTTGGGCATTATTACTCATACTACAGTACACTTATGGCAACTAGGCATTTGTCTTATAGTAATAACAGGTAATGACGCACTAGTTTTAATTTTTTAATATGTATAAATGATAGGGTACTCTTATTTTGATATCAAATGTCTTGTAAAGGATGTGAAGCTCTCGCAGCAGGGTCACGGGCGCTGGCACGAATGCTAGGAAAAACTGGGAACTTGAGAAGTGAGGTGGAAGGGAAAAATTGAGCCTCGAGGTAGTGCTAGCTAGTGTGAGTTAGGCTTTATGCTGTTGTGGAAGCTGAAACAGTTTGGTTATGATTGTCTAGACTCATATACACGTGAAATGCTGCATTGTTGACGTTGTTTTGTGGCATATTATGCAGGTTAAGCATAAGTTTGTGTATGGATAAGTAGGATTTGCTCCTAACCTATATGTATAGTTCTTAACTCACTTATCGCATATGAGCTGAGAGACTGCGTGAGCAAGCTAACATATAGCCTTGTCTCCTTATTACGGTATCAAATGTTCATATTCTCATTTTTACTGGAGAGATTGAACTGTATTTTGTTTTCTTCATGAAAATGTTTTTCTGTTTTTTGTTTTCCATCGCTCTGACGATGTGTTTACGATATCATACGGCATTAAAATCTTCATAAATCATCAGTCGGCTTTACTACTTTCTGGCTAGGTGGCTACATTGTCCACTTTTAAAGCCTCTATATCTCAGGAAGTAATGAAAATACAAACTAAACTCTTGTAAACTTTTTGCTGGGCTCAGTGATGTTATTTCCTGAAACTATAAAGCTAATCTGACAAGGTCAGTCTGGTGATGGACACGTCTATTATAATCATTAAAATTTGAAAGGACTGTTAAAGAGTAAAAATAAAAACATAGCAAGATAACATCATCTGCAGAGAGTGTTCCCTACCTTCTGTTGGATCGGTTCGTAGAAAATCCTTATCGTAAAGAAGCTCCTAAGACACAAATCAAATCAAATCAAATCAAATTTATTTGTATAGCGCTTTTTACAACTGATGTTGTCACAAAGCAGCTTCACAGAAATCCGTTTAGAACAAAGTTTCAACGTGAACTGTAAATCCTCCAGGTGAGCAAGCCAGGGGCGACAGTGGCAAGGAAAAACTCCCTCAGAGCTGAGGAAGAAACCTTGGGAGGAACCAAGGCTCACATGGGGGGACCCATCCTCCTCTGGTCAAACTACGTACAAAATTATTATTCTACTAATATTAATAGTACACAGTACAGAAGTGTGTTACAGCACAAAGGATTGTTATTGTAACTCTGCTGAAAGAGTGAAAATTGTGGAAGAATGTTCAAGAAAATGAAAATGAGCAAAATACAAATAAGGCGTCACACTTTGGAGCTCTGTCCAAGAGTGTCCATCTACTGCAGTTTAACAGGTATTCATATATGAAGGTGTTGCAGGCACAATTTTAAGATTTACAATTACGCTGAAGCATCAACATATAATGTAAAATATTCAATATTGATCTATTACACCTTTAATTCTCTTTAAGAGACTTGCCTTCAGTTTATTAAAGAAATCTGCAGGGATGTTTTTCCACAACTCCAAAGCTCAGCCCTAGATATTCATTGAATTTAAGCAGATAAGTTGTGTTTGGGTTGTTGCTTATGAGAATGTTAGTGTCTCTATGAAGAGTAACATAATGTTGGGGACACCTTTTGGGAACAGCTTTTGTTAGGAGGACACACCTGTAACTGGTAGGTTTTAAGAATGTAAGCATTAGAGTTGCAATATGTGCATAAAAATAAAGGGTAGATACTGAATGATTTTATATTATACTGAAGGGTTTGAGGCTCTGTTAAATATATCTCTCGCTAAAAAATGGATAACTTGTACTTTATAGGCATTTTGGCTGGTCTCTGACTTTTGCGCAGTACATGCAAAAACAGTATGTACATTCAGTAAATGTGGTGCAGATGCGAAATAGACTTATTCTAACCAGGTCATCTGACCCCTGTATATGACCGAAAAGCCCTCAGCATGTAAGATGAGTTTCATCAGCTCTGGGTTAGTCACTCTTTGCACTTGTACATGTTTCAGAGAGGAAACTGCAGTGTCTGACCAAACCTAAAGATAACCATGTCTTTCTGAACCACATAATGGAAGGCTGATGATTATCTCTCCAAAAAAGCAGAGACATGGCCTGTTCTATAATGCACATATAAATAAACGGTTATATGAAGTTCATGCCATACATTTCCAATTAATCAGTTAGAATAGGGTCATGTACAGTATTTGTTACTAACCTAAAATCTTAATTATTTAATGTTGATGTTTATCAACAATCCTTTTGGTTCATCTTTTCTATGTGAAGCTTTCTGACATAGCAATTTTGCAAAAAATCTAAACGTTTAGAACTTTTTATTTAAGAATTTTTATTAGGCAGCTAAAATGGAGAGAACCAAAGTTTGAGTGCTGCAAATCAGAAACTCCATGCAAGATGCTAATCTGATATATAAACAAATTAGACAGTTGCTGAAAAAGAGAGCTGGAAAGGTGGATTCAAAAGAACTTCAAAAAGAGTGATAGCCTGTTTTGGACTTACTGAGCTGTGCTTGGTCGTGTAGAGGTGGTAGATGAAGCAAGTCTCCACAACTATGCCAAACAGAGCAATGGAGACCAGTACATAGAGGATGGTCTGGATCATTCTGTTTTTCCAGCTGTCCACCATGACTCTCGAGGGATTCTCATTACCTGTACTAGCCATGTTCACGAGGTCCTGTCCTTCAAACCCTGAAGCAGAGGTGACAGCAGGTCCTCCAGCAGAGAAGATGCAGAGCAATAGCCAAGTAGACGGCGTAGCAATGCGCATGCATACTCCCAGTCACCAAAGTGGGTGGAGAGTTGGAGACAAGGTTCTTCATCCAAGTGGCAGCATGTAAATACAAATATTCTTTAAAAAATCCCAGAGATAAGCCCAGTCCAGGACAAAGAAAGTTGTATATTTTAAGAATTTACAGAAAGCCAAAAAAAACTTTGCCCTCTTTCTCATTCATATGCTTGAATTCAATGAGTTGCAGTAAGAACTGAGGAAATGCTCTAAAAGATGTGAAGGAGGAAAGACGTGCTCATACACACTTCCTTCTATTATTGTCTTTACAGGTGTTTTATCATTGAATTCATAATACAGCTGAATGTAGTTATGCTAAACCATCAGTGATAGTGTGCACGACTCATGAGCCTCTTGAATGGGATTTTGCATAGCAAAGCTTTAATGTTCCTGGTAAACAGCACAACCCATGGCAGCCACCATAATATGCTGATCACCAGGAAAAAACATCATATCGTCATATTAGCCAAAGAAAAACATTCATGCCCATTATTGTTGATTTTTACTTTTCTGCATCATTTAAATTCAGCACCTTCCCTTTATATTGTGTGAATATTAATAAATAAAAATAATAAAAAGAACAAATAGAAATGCTCAATAATCACTTTTAATTAAACCTTTTTACAAAAACTTAACGTTTTTGCCCTCTCCTGTAAAGTTACTATTTTAGAGATACTTCTGTTTCTTTGGATGGCAACTATATGCTATGTTTTGAATGCAGCTAAACCAGCACCAGACCAGCATAAACCAGCTGGTTGAGTTGGGTTTTATCAACTGCACATACACTATATGGACAAAAGTATTGGGACACTTACACATTACACCTACAGGAGATTTATGACATCCCATTCTAAATCCATAAGCATTAATATGGTGTTGGACCCCCTATGCAGTTATAACATCTTCCATATTCTGGGAAGATTTTTACAAGATTTTGAAGTGTGTCTGTGGGAATTTGTGCCCATTCATCCAGAAGAGCGTTTGTGAGGTCAGACACTGATGTTGGACGAGAGGGCCTGGCTCACAGTCAAAGTTCTAGTTCATCCCAAAGGTGGTTGATGGGGTTGAGGTCAGGGCTCTGTGTTTTAACACACCAAACTCACCCAGCTATGCCTTTATGGACCTTGCTTTGTGCACTGGGGCTCAGTCATGCTGGAACAGAAAAGGTTCTTTCCCAAACTGTTCCCCCCAAAAAAATATAATTGTCCAAAATGTCTTGTTCTCCTGAAGTATTAAGATTTCCCTTCACTGGAGCTAAGGGGTCTAGGCCAAACCCTGAAAAACAACACCATAGCATTATCCCTCCTCCACCAAACTTTACAGCTGGCACAAAGCAGTCAGGCAGGTAACGTTCTCCTGGCATTCGCCAGACCCAGACTCATCCATCCGACTGTCAGATAGAGAAGTGTGATTCGTCTCTCCACAGAATACGTTTCCACTATTCCAGAGTCCAGTGGAGCCGTGCTTTACACCACTCCATTAGACACTTGTACTTGGTGATGTAAGGCTTGCACGCAGCTGCTCAGCCATGGAAACCCATGCCGTGAAGCTCCCAGCGCAGTTTTTGTGCTGATGTTGATGCCAGGGTAGGTTTGGAACTCTGCAGTTATTGATCAGCAGAACGTTGGCGATTTTTATGCACTATGCTCTTCAGCACTCGGCGACCCACTCTGTAACTTTACGTGGTCTGACCCTTCATGGCTGAGTTGCTGTGGTTCCTAAATGTTTCCACTTTTCAATAATACCACACACAGTTGATATTTAGGAGGGAAGAAGTGTCACAAACTGACTTGCTGCAACAGTGGCATCCTATTACAGTACCACACTCTAATTCAGTGAGATCTTTAGAATGACCCATTCTTTCACAGATGTCTGTACAGGCAGACTGCAAGGCTTGGTGCTTGAATTTATACACCAGTGGCAATAAGTCTGAATGAAACACCTGAATTCAGTGATTTGGAGGTGTGTCCTAGTACTTTTGTTTATAGTGTATTTCTCAATATACTTCTCTCTGTGAAGTTCCTGTCTGTTGGTTAAAACACTGTTAACACAAGGTGGCTGATATTTCTTAGCTCATAAGATACTACAGCCATGCTTCTGCAGTCTGAACTAGGTAAAGCCTCGACAAGCAGGGCTATAACTCAAGAATCTGTATGAATTCATGCGACTAGGGATAACTCATAGTGTAGAATATATGTATAGCACCATAGTACCATACACCATAGTACCATACAGCATCTTTGAAAAGAAATATTTGAGTGCTTAGTAACATCTTATGTCAGTATTCACATTGTGACATGAGAGGTTTCATGAAGTAAATAACATTGTATTGGTGTAAAGGCCCTCATACTGAAGTGATAGCCATTGTTTCCATTTATAACACTGCATGTATCATCATGTATCAACTGTAAGTATCATTCTCAACAACTTATAGCAGTTCTGTGTACGATAACTTCAAGACACATTAAGATAAAAAAGATACATTTGCCAGCTTTAGATGGCTGAAATTTCATGCAGCATATATGTTTCGTGTCTTGACATCACATCGTATGACATGTCAAATATTTTTGTTTCTATTTAGGTCATTTTTAAGACTAGTAGAACAGTGGTGTAGTCTAATCTAAAGTAGTGGGTATACTGTGAGCTAGCACACAGCAAAATAAAACACTCAGCTTATATTTGTAGCACATATAACTGATAGAACATCTAGTGATACTTGTCAAACACCTCGTAGCTATTTGTAGAACACTTAGTGATATTTACAAACACGTTGCATTTGTAAAACACCTAGCGGTACTGGTAGAACACCTCATGCAGTCCTGGAGCCAGTGGGCATACTCTGATCCTGCTACTTCTGGCAGTGTGTCTGGGGAGTGACCAAAAGCCAGTTTAGCAAGGAACCTGATTTCCCTCCCCTGTATTAGTATGGCCAGGGTGCACAAGGCTGAATCTTTGACTGCAGAGCATGCCATGGGGACCAGGGGCAAGTGCTTGTCCCAGTCATGCTGTTGTGTAGATGTTAGGATAGCTAGCTGTTCTGCTAGGGTGCAGTTAAACCTCTCCACCAACCCATCACTATGGGGATGGAGAGGGGTGGTGCAGGCCTTCATGATTCCTAGTTGCTCACACATGATGGAAAGCATTTTGATTCAAAGTTACACCCTTGGTCACCATGAATGGATGGAGGGTTCCCAAACCGACTGAAAATCCCCTCAACGCAGGCTTCAGCGATGGTCTCTGCTTCCTGATCCAGGCCTCTGGCCATTTTGTGAAATACTACATCGACTCCTATTTGAGACTGCCCTTGAGGTCCTTTGCATACTGTACACAGGTCACACCTCCTGCAGAAGTCCTCTATGTCCCACCTCACCCGTCCCCAGCAGAAACTCTGTCAGAGTCGCTGACCCTGACAAGATCCTTCAGAGCAATGCATGGCCTTTAAAACTACCTACTGCAGACCCCTGAGAATGACAACCTGCCATCTTCTTGCTCTTGTCACTGGCTTCAACCAGGCCCACTGTAGGACATCATCCACTAACCACAGTGTCAACTTTGGCCCACAGTCCTTTTGTGAATGGGGACAGTGGGGCCACTAACCCACCACATTACTAGCTGTAGGTCAGGGTCCTGCATCTGCTGTTCAGCCTATTTGTCACTGTCCACCTCCTGCAGTGCTGCACAACTTTTTGGCACTTGGAGTACTTGCATGCACCAGGACAGTGCATCAGCATTACCATTCTGCTTGCCTGCGGGGCCTCAAAAGCTGACTGACAGTCCTCTGACCAATTGAATTCTTGTCCTGTCTGGAGCAACCTGTACAAGGGGGCAGCAGTCCAAGGAACGTCAGTTCTTTGTTCAGGAATCTGCACTTCCCAGGGTATAATTTCAACCCTGCCACTCTGATTCTCTCCAGTGCTTTGCACATAGCAGTATCAGCAGAGTCAAATGAGTTTCCATGCACCTGTATGTCATCCAAGAAGACTAGGCAGTACTGTAGGAACCCTACAAAGAACAAAAGCAAAGGCCTCAAAATACCATAGCCCCCTACCTGTCCAGAATGCTGTCTTGGGGACACCTGTCTGTACCTGCTTCTCAAATCTAAAAATGAAAACTTGCATCTGCATCTTTTCCAAAGTTTTGTCTACAAGGCATCGAAGGCATTGTGGCTGCTGCTGTGCTGGTGTAGCATCCCCTGTGTTGATGCTGTGTGGCACTAGGTGAGTCTGCCCCAGCTCTCCCTCATGAAATGCAAAGCAGTTCTGAAACTCCACTAAGATCTACCAAAGCATCTCCTGCTGCTGTTCGTCCATCTTCCTTGCACTCTTTTTTTACCAGATTTCCCTCAGGGTTATCATTCTACTCTCTCCTCTGCTAAGTGGGGCCTGGTTCAGGTGTCACTATGATCCCAGGAAGTTTCCTGCTGACTTCACCCCCAACAAACAAGTCCTTGCCAGATGTCCCAGGCAGACATGCCCAGTAATGGCAGCCCCTTGCCACTGTCCGTGTGATATGGCCAACCTTCGGATCAGTTCTATCATCTCCTCCACCCGCACTGGCTTTTGTAATACACTTCACAGTTCTGACTGCAGAACCAGTAACATCTGTGCACACCAAGCTGCTGACCACATAATTTCTCTCTCCAGCACCAAATTTAGGGCCACAGGGAAGTCACGTCGACAGGTCAGCTCTGTGTGGACCAGCAGTTTAGTGGGACAGTGCTGTAATACCATGATGAACTGGCCTATATCACCAAAGTCATATAGATAAGTCTGTTCACTCTGCTGCCATTATTGCAACGCCACTGAGGAGGTGGCATATGAGCAAAAGTCTGTTTAGCTGAAGTTTCAATATCATTATCTACAATCCTTTCCCTGCCATCATGAAAGCTGAAAAGGGAAGTAACACAATAAGTTGAAACAGGTACGTTACAAAATGCCCCTCACGTGGCATCAGGAGCGAATAGCTTCCATACAAGTAATGGACCGCACCAGAGTTTGATGGAAGTGAACCCCAGACCACCGATTTCAGGAGGACCAGAGATCTGTTTTCTGGACCGCTCCCAGGCTCAAAAACAGCTTTAACACTTGACCAAACGTACCAAACTCACAGAGCAAGCGGTTCTGGGTCTAGTGTGAAAATGCTCTTAGAGACATTACACCCTAGTCACATCAATAAACAACACAAGCAATCTAGTGACAAATGTCACAAAAAGTGGTTTGATGAAGTAGAAGTTGCTTTTTTATTTGCACAAGAGAAATGACTGAAATAAAGATGAACAGAATGTTCATGATCTTGATGATCTTGATAAACTTGGCCCTGCAGAGCTTTCTGTTCATCAGACCTCACTCTCATCTTGGATACACACATAAACAGTGGCAACAATGATTAAAAACAATTCAGTTTTTCTGTCAGGAAGGCCTGGATAAATTGCCAGTACAGTTAGTTGCAAAAGTACCCCTGGTCATATTGCATGCTTTGATCACAGATCATCTAATGTAAATAAAACAAGTCACATATTAAAAATGTGGTACCACATGTGAAAAAAAGTGTCAGTGCATGTGTGGTTTTGCACACTTCGTATGTGGGAAATTAAACATAAATTAATATTTGTGTCGTAATTTTGCACAGGCCACATTCTATGTTCAGTTTTTTCCCCAGTGTGTTAAATTCAGCAAATAAACAGTAATCGTGCATTAAAATGTGCAAAGGCGTGTTCTCTGTAGAGGATGTGTTTAAGGGGGAGCTTCACTGATTTTGCAAAATTACTCAATCCATCAATGGTTTAGAAGTAAACAAAATAATTCAGAGTAGTTTGGTGTGAAATGTGCCTTTCTAGAGAAATTTACAGAGTCAACATTGTTCACCATTATAGTACGAGGAACCAGCTGTTGTTATGTCTACACTACTAATATCACCATTTTATCTGCAATTCAAAATGACCAGTGAACTTACATGAGTCTTGTAAGTTTTTCTATGTCATGCTGATAATGATAAAATAGGGCTAAATTCAAAAATATATGTACATTTTTCCTTACATCACCCTGCATGTATCCCTCCACCATGCACGCATTTTGTGTTGTTTGGGTTGGTGGGCCTGCTTCACACGGTGTCCACAAAACTCAAATTCATCAGAGAGCTGCGATAAATCACGGTTACACCTTGCTGGTTTATTGTTCAGAATGGTGATGAACTGCACTGTACCAGGATGCAAAAATAAATGAAATATAAGTTTTAAATAAATTAAAAATACATTTTCGGTTACCATTACAAATACCAGAAGTCCTGAAGTTGAGGCTAATGGTTTTGAAGCTACACACAAGTACCGAAGGCAAACAATTATACAAATTTAGGGTTTGCAGCAACACCAACAAAGAGTTCTCAAGACCAGTGAAAAAAAATGCAGATTTCTTCAAATGCTGGCTGCTAAAGAAAACTGCTGTTCCCTGTTGTATTTTACACCATAGAAACTGGAATCACGGTAAGAAACGTATGTAAATGAAGTAATTTAGTCGTCGTTAGCCACCATGCATATATCACTGTTAGCTGTAAAAAATAAACTGTAAACCAAAACTGCTGCTGGCTTTAGCTGTGTTGAACAGCTGTAGCTACAGGTTAGTAACAACAAAAGCACGTTAGCTCACGTGCATTGATCTCAGTTGAGAATACGGGTTTGAGAGGAAACATGGAAGTGATCCTGGAGTAAAGGTTCATACTAAAAACACGTTTTAGGCCAAAACTTTACAGCAAGACTATCACAAAACAATGTCTCAGGTATCAGGCAACACATCCCTAACCATTTTATGTAATAACTTAACAGGATGTGGCTTTTAGAGCCATTAAATCTGGTTTCTAGTACTATAATGGTGAACAATTCTGACTCTAAATTTCTTTAGAAAGGCGCATTTCCTACTGAATCACTCTGAATGATTTTGTTTACATCTAAATTACTGAATGACTGAGTAATTTTGCTAAATCGGTGGAGTTCCCCTTTAACTTATTTTAACTTATTTTCAAACATACCGAATCTACAGAACTGTGCAAAAGTCAGAGACCACTCTTTATTTACGTTATTTAGTGTCATTAAGTACAAGTTATTTGAGGAGATATTTCTGAGGAGATTAGATATAAGATAAGCTACTTACATGAGGAAGGGAAAGGAAAATAAGTGGAAAAAACAGGAGACCTCACACCTCCATCACTGAGTGTGTTTGGGATTACTTGGACCGTAGGAAGCAGAAAATGCAACCAAATTCTAAGACTGAACTTCGGAGGTGTGGAAAAATATCCCTGCAGATTTCTTTAAAAACCTGAGAGCAAGACTCCTGAAAAGAACTGTAGCTGAAATAAAGGTAAACAGTGCACACACTAAATACTGAATTACTGCTGTTTTCCTGATACAGAAAATGTCCAGCTTGACTGAAAATAAAGTAAATGAGGGGTCTCTCTGATTTTTGCGCAGTACTGTATGTGTGTAAAATCTGTTAAGAGTTTGATTAAGTTAGAAAGGCTTACATTGCCATGACACAGAGACGCTGTTCTCTCTGAAAAGTCCCCCGTGGTTTGGGACAACCTTCTGTATCTTCTGCTTTGTTGATACAGAAGCTAACTATGTACACTTTACCTCAGAGTTTAAGTTTTCCAAAGTGACTCCAAGTTATTGTGTGGAACTGAGAAATCAGTGATAATGGATGGCCTACATTCTTCATAATGAAGGTGCTAAAAAGGGCTCTTTGGGGTAATGCCATAAAAACACATGGTACATTTAAATAGGTGGATCTTTAAAGAACTATTTTAAAGCTATTTTTAAAGAGTCTCCTCATAATGTAAAGGTTCTATATCAATATGCTAACATTTTTCCTAAAAACCTTGAAACTTTAAAAGAAAGTTTAGTAGTAAAAAGTCTTTACACTTCAGTAAAAAGTACAGAATTTTTCTACACTCATCTAAATGTTTACAGTTTTAGCTAAGTCACGTTCAGATGATCATGCAATCATGTGGCCTTCCAAGCCAGTTATTTACAAGTGTCAAGTATCATCACATCACTTTTTTAACATCACACGCACTTTTAACAACAAATAAGCTCATCATGCCCTGCACTATTCAAGTTTAATAAGGGAATCCTGGCTACATCATGAACATGCCAAAGTAGTTATTTGCCAGAGATTGCATGCGAACTGTGCCACTTTTCACCACAACAAAAACAGCATCACCTTTGTAAAGGTGGAACATACCACCAAGGTAGCTGTTTTTCATGGATCCTTCTCTTTTGAGTGGTTTGGGGTGGTCTTCATAGTAGCGGTTAGATAGAAGCTCGATAAGAGATCCCCTGAAGCGCGACGAGGTCATCACCACCAAGTGATGAAAGAAAGCTTCCTTTGCATCAAAGCAGAGTTTGGAGTAGATGTAGTAATAGCCCTCTTTCTCAACCACCAGCTTATTTTCTTTGTACTCCAGCTCATGAAGTTCAAGGTCCACTTTATCGTTCCACCGCATGACTCCGTCTGCACCGGGACGTTCAACATAAGCTTCACCATAAACAAAAACAATGACGAAGAAAAAATACATAGAATTAGACTTTGAACTTGAACTGTACACAAACTGCATTCTCGGCCTTCTCTGAGTTGTGTGAATGGATGGTAACACAGCTCAGCCGTAAAGTGTTACTGAACAGATAATGGTGTTGTGCTGTGAAGACTGCTCTGAAGTAGATGTTAGACATCCATACCTCTCAGGTGTGCTAAAGGCTTGAAAGCCTTAAATGGAGGTGGTCTTGTCTTCTTTGAAGGGACTGTAGAGGCTTCCATGATACAAAAAGAAGAGGTATCTGTATTCCATTACAGTAACAGAAAAAAGACAGTAATCAGAACAGGTACATTATAAAAATAGAGTGTAAACCAGCAGGATTACATTCAAATGCATACTCGCTGTCTTTCTCTGAAATTGGCCATTTTAATGATAAGTATGTCGTATGAGTTGTCATGGCCGTAACTAGCTATGAGGACACCGAGGTCAGGAGTTTCAGAAGGATTTTTTTTTCACTTTTCTCTATTCACTCATTGATTAAATGTAACAACGCCATTATGATAATACCTTAGTCTACTGAGGGGCACAGCCACGGTCCCACCCAAATGGGGACAGAATTTTTAGTATGTGTCATTTTTCATGATAATGAAATTTTATGTATTTTCTGTGAGCGCTGTCACTGTATTATGGCCAATCAAAATCTGACAAGCTCCGCCTTTTCCTTAACCCTCCAAACACTGCTTTGCAACCATTGCTATCTGCAGTTGCTTCAGTAATTAGCGCCCGTGATGCTCATGACTAGCGTTAGGGCTGTTTCTGAAGGGTTTTAAGAGATTCAGTGTGGAAAAAAGCAACAAAACTACCCAAATAGCTGTGAATCGTTCCCAACTGACATCAGAATAGTGGCTTGGCCCTAAACTGAACTGCCCACTGCCCACATCTCTGTGTGTGAGACACTACACACACACAGCACTTAGTCCCAGAGCAACTTTGACTTCTTGACATGTTCCAATATTCAGCACACATGCTATAGGCTAACATAAGTTCACTGATAACCAGCATATTGATGGTATAGTATTATGTAGCTAACATTAAGAAATCAGAAGGTACACAGTATTTTGTCTCATTAACCGTATGAGTAGCTGCCTTTCCTGTTAGCTGGGGTTTAACCCAGACAGCCTTTTATAACGTATGTTTAATGTGTGCTTTTCCAGTAATCAGTGGGGACAGAGACGCAAAAGAGACAAGCACAGACAGACAGACAGACAGACAGACAGATAGATAGATAGATAGATAGATAGATAGATAGGTAAATAAAATAAAATCAATTTGAAACTACTAGTGTAGGTTTCAAAAACTATTTTAGCTGAAAGTAAACATAGAAATAAATCGTTAAATGGTTAATTAAATAAACTTAAAGTGATTAAACTTAGTGATTAAACATTACTGTCTATCTCATGGCAGCAGTAAGTCATAGCTGTGTTTATCAGAGGTATTTTCAACTCTTTAATGTGTTTAGGTCAGTGCTGCATTATTTCTTTCGACCCCACAGCACCACAGATTCATCGATTTAATGACCCAACACACTGATTCAGCTTATGAAGGGCTCAGTAGCCAGTTTATGAGCTGGATCAGGTGTTTTAATGTAAGGAACAGTTGAAACCGTGTGGAGCTGAAGGTCTAAGAAGGCCTGATTTAAACAGCTGCAAAACTTGCTTAGTAGGCTCTTTAGCAGACACAGCTAAGCTAGGTAGCACTAGCAAAACAAAGCTGCAAACAGCTACGTTTACCTAATATACTTCAATTTCCAATTTTACGTAGGGTGACACGGGACCCTGAGCGAGTGTTACATCAACAAATATGACAAACATTATTCATAAAGTTGGACAGGTCAGCGCAATTCTCTCTGGCAATAATGTTACAACTCTCAGTACGAAGCACTCTGCCGTGTTCGAGGCAGATCATGGCTCACTGAGTGGGTGTGGCTACATGTTCAGAGGTCCTGCCACTCCAAACCAGTGGACCATTAGAGACTGCAAGTGAGCGCCCTCTTCTAAGACCCAACTCTTGGTAAAAAGGGCCAAAAGTCAGAAGCAAAAGAGCGATGCCAGAAGCGAAAAAGATATCAGCAAAATCAGCAAGTAGAAAAGAAATGAAAGCAAAACGTGTAATACATTCATATCGGAATGAAAGAAAAAGAGTAGTAATCTTTTTGAAAAGTTAAGTTTGATTTAACTCTCATTATTTGTATTTACAATATATTTGGGAAAATTTGATACTTAATATTTTGCTTGTGAATTTTCTCATTTTATTTGAAACTTTTGGCACAAAATTAACTATGGGTTATGGTTACATTTTAACAGGTAATTAGTAATCTGTAACAGAATACATTTCTAAAGGAACGCTTTCTGAGATATAGAGCCTTTAAAGTTGAGTATTTAATGTAGGTTCTAAAAGAAGTGCTTTGAAAAAAACTTTTATGGTAGGTGCATATAATTTTAAGGGATTACTCTTTGCTCTAATAACAATAATAATAATAATAATAATGATAATAATTTTATTTATATAGCACTTTTCATGCATATAATTACAGAAAAGATCATTAGTACATAATTAGAATCAGAAGAAAATGAAAAAGATTAAATTATAAGATAAACACCACGAGACATTCAGTTTTAGTTAAATGCTAATTTAAAGAGATACGTTTTTAGGTGCTTCTTAAAAGTGAGCACTGAGCTTGACTGTCTAATAAAAGGTGGAATTGAGTTCCACAGTTTAGAAGCATAATAACTGAAAGAGGCCTCTCCATGTTTTCTGTATTTTACAGAGGGTATCTGTAGAAGGCCACTATCTGCAGATCTTAGATTGCGGGCCGGAACACAAACAGACAGACACTCTGTGATGTAAGCAGGTGCCAGGTTGTTTTGAGCTTTAAAGACTAGTAGCAGAATCTTGAAATCTATCCTGAATGATAAAGGCAGCCAGTGCAGTTCTTTCAAAACGGGAGTGATGTGATCTCTCTTTTTAGTTTTTGTTAGGATGCACGCTGCTGCATTTTGTACGAGTTGTAAGGGATGTGTTGTTTTCTTAGGAAGTCCAGCAAGAAGAGCTTTACAGTAGTCAAGTTTATAGTGTGTTTAAACAGAAGATTTAGAGGTGAATGTTTGCTGTTTTATGGCTTGAAGAAAAATAGATTCAAATTTTCAAATCTCACACTGCAGCATATAAGACCCTTCAAATCTTGGGCATTATTACTCATACTACAGTACACTTATGGCAGCTAGGCATTTGTCTTATAGTAATAACAGGTAATGACGCACTAGTTTTAATTTTTTAATATGTATAAATGATAGGGTACTCTTATTTTGATATCAAATGTCTTAAAGGATGTGAAGCTCTCGCAGCAGGGTCACGGGCGCTGGCACGAATGCTAAGAAAAACTGGGAACTTGAAAAGTGAGGTGGAAGGGAAAAATTGAGCCTCGAGGTAGTGCTAGCTAGTGTGAGTTAGGCTTTATGCTGTTGTGGAAGCTGAAACAGTTTGGTTATGATTGTCTAGACTCATATACACGTGAAATGCTGCATTGTTGACGTTGTTTTGTGGCATATTACGCAGGTTAAGCATAAGTTTGTGTATGGATAAGTAGGATTTGCTCCTATATGTATAGTTCTTAACTCACTTATCGCATATGAGCTGAGAGACTGCGTGAGCAAGCTAACATATAGCCTTGTCTCCTTATTACGGTATCAAATGTTCATATTCTCATTTTTACTGGAGAGATTGAACTGTATTTTGTTTTCTTCATGAAAATGTTTTTCTGTTTTTTGTTTTCCATCGCTCTTACGATGTGTTTACGATATCATACGGCATTAAAATCTTCATAAATCATCAGTCGGCTTTACTACTTTCTGGCTAGGTGGCTACATTGTCCACTTTTAAAGCCTCTATATCTCAGGAAGTAATGAAAATACAAACTAAACTCTTGTAAACTTTTTGCTGGGCTCAGTGATGTTATTTCCTGAAACTATAAAGCTAATCTGACAAGGTCAGTCTGGTGATGGACACGTCTATTATAATCATTAAAATTTGAAAGGACTGTTAAAGAGTAAAAATAAAAACATAGCAAGATAACATCATCTGCAGAGAGTGTTCCCTACCTTCTGTTGGATCAGTTCGTAGAAAATCCTTATCGTAAAGAAGCTCCTAAGACACAGTACACAAGTGTGTTACAGCACAAAGGATTGGTATTGTTACTCTGCTGAAAGAGTGAAAATTGTGGAAGAATGTTCAAGAAAATGAAAATGAGCAAAATACAAATAAGGCGTCACACTTTGGAGCTCTGTCCAAGAGTGTCCATCTACTGCAGTTTAACAGGTATTCATATATGAAGGTGTTGTAGGCACAATTTTAAGATTTACAATTACGCTGAAGCATCAACATATAATGTAAAATATTCAATATTGATTTATTACACCTTTAATTCTCTTTAAGAGACTTGCCTTCAGTTTATTAAAGAAATCTGCAGGGATGTTTTTCCACAACGCCAAAGCTCAGCCCTAGATATTCATTGAATTTAAGCAGATAAGTTGTGTTTGGGTTGTTGCTTATGAGAATGTTAGTGTCTCTATGAAGAGTAACATAATGTTGGGGACACCTTTTGGGAACAGCTTTTGTTAGGAGGACACACCTGTAACTGGTAGGTTTTAAGAATGTAAGCATTAGAGTTGCAATATGTGCATAAAAATAAAGGGTAGATACTGAATGATTTTATATTATACTTAAGGGTTTGAGGCTCTGTTAAATATATCTCTCGCTAAAAAATGGATAACTTGTACTTTATAGGCATTTTGGCTGGTCTCTGACTTTTGCGCAGTACATGCAAAAACAGTATGTACATTCAGTAAATGTGGTGCAGATGCGAAATAGACTTATTCTAACCAGGTCATCTGACCCCTGTATATGATCGAAAAGCCCTCAGCATGTAAGACGAGTTTCATCAGCTCTGGGTTAGTCACTCTTTGCACTTGTACATGTTTCAGAGAGGAAACTGCAGTGTCTGACCAAACCTAAAGATAACCATGTCTTTCTGAACCACATAATGGAAGGCTGATGATTATCTCTCCAAAAAAGCAGAGACATGGCCTGTTCTATAATGCACATATAAATAAACGGTTATATGAAGTTCATGCCATACATTTCCATTTAATCAGTTAGAATAGGGTCATGTACAGTATTTGTTACTAACCTAAAATCTTAATTATTTAGTGTTGATGTTTATCAACAATCCTTTTGGTTCATCTTTTCTATGTGAAGCTTTCTGACATAGCAATTTTGCAAAAAATCTAAACGTTTAGAACTTTTTATTTAAGAATTTTTATTAGGCAGCTAAAATGGAGAGAACCAAAGTTTGAGTGCTGCAAATCAGAAACTCCATGCAAGATGCTAATCTGATATATAAACAAATTAGACAGTTGCTGAAAAAGAGAGCTGGAAAGGTGGATTCAAAAGAACTTCAAAAAGAGTGATAGCCTGTTTTGGACTTACTGAGCTGTGCTTGGTCGTGTAGAGGTGGTAGATGAAGCAAGTCTCCACAACTATGCCAAACAGAGCAATGGAGACCAGTACATAGAGGATGGTCTGGATCATTCTGTTTTTCCAGCTGTCCACCATGACTCTCGAGGGATTCTCATTACCTGTACTAGCCATGTTCACGAGGTCCTGTCCTTCAAATCCTGAAGCAGAGGTGACAGCAGGTCCTCCAGCAGAGAAGATGCAGAGCAATAGCCAAGTAGACGGCGTAGCAATGCGCATGCATACTCCCAGTCACCAAAGTGGGTGGAGAGTTGGAGACAAGGTTCTTCATCCAAGTGGCAGCATGTAAATACAAATATTCTTTAAAAAATCCCAGAGATAAGCCCAGTCCAGGACAAAGAAAGTTGTATATTTTAAGAATTTACAGAAAGCCAAAAAAAACTTTGCCCTCTTTCTCATTCATATGCTTGAATTCAATGAGTTGCAGTAAGAACTGAGGAAATGCTCTAAAAGATGTGAAGGAGGAAAGACTCATGTGCTCATACACACTTCCTTCTATTATTGTCTTTACAGGTGTTTTATCATTGAATTCATAATACAGCTGAATGTAGTTATGCTAAACCATCAGTGATAGTGTGCACGACTCATGAGCCTCTTGAATGGGATTTTGCAAAGCAAAGCTTTAATGTTCCTGGTAAACAGCACAACCCATGGCAGCCACCATAATATGCTGATCACCAGGAAAAAACATCATATCGTCATATTAGCCAAAGAAAAACATTCATGCCCATTATTGTTGATTTTTACTTTTCTGCATCATTTAAATTCAGCACCTTCTCTTTATATTGTGTGAATATTATAAATAAAAATAATAAAAAGAACAAATAGAAATGCTCAATAATCACTTTTAATTAAACCTTTTTACAAAAACTTAACGTTTTTGCCCTCTCCTGTAAAGTTACTATTTTAGAGATACTTCTGTTTCTTTGGATGGCAACTATATGCTGTGTTTTGAATGCAGCTAAACCAGCACCAGACCAGCATAAACCAGCTGGTTGAGTTGGGTTTTATCAACTGCACATACACTATATGGACAAAAGTATTGGGACACTTACACATTACACCTACAGGAGATTTATGACATCCCATTCTAAATCCATAGGCATTAATATGGTGTTGGACCCCCTATGCAGTTATAACATCTTCCATATTCTGGGAAGATTTTTACAAGATTTTGAAGTGTGTCTGTGGGAATTTGTGCCCATTCATCCAGAAGAGCGTTTGTGAGGTCAGACACTGATGTTGGACGAGAGGGCCTGGCTCACAGTCAAAGTTCTAGTTCATCCCAAAGGTGTTTGATGGGGTTGAGGTCAGGGCTCTGTGTTTTAACACACCAAACTCACCCAGCTATGCCTTTATGGACCTTGCTTTGTGCACTGGGGCTCAGTCATGCTGGAACAGAAAAGGTTCTTTCCCAAACTGTTCCCCCCAAAAAAATATAATTGTCCAAAATGTCTTGTTCTCCTGAAGTATTAAGATTTCCCTTCACTGGAGCTAAGGGGTCTAGGCCAAACCCTGAAAAACAACACCATAGCATTATCCCTCCTCCACCAAACTTTACAGCTGGCACAAAGCAGTCAGGCAGGTAACGTTCTCCTGGCATTCGCCAGACCCAGACTCATCCATCCGACTGTCAGATAGAGAAGTGTGATTCGTCTCTCCACAGAATACGTTTCCACTATTCCAGAGTCCAGTGGAGCCGTGCTTTACACCACTCCATTAGACACTTGTACTTGGTGATGTAAGGCTTGCACGCAGCTGCTCAGCCATGGAAACCCATGCCGTGAAGCTCCCAGCGCAGTTTTTGTGCTGATGTTGATGCCAGGGTAGGTTTGGAACTCTGCAGTTATTGATCAGCAGAACGTTGGCGATTTTTATGCACTATGCTCTTCAGCACTCGGCGACCCACTCTGTAACTTTACGTGGTCTGACCCTTCATGGCTGAGTTGCTGTGGTTCCTAAATGTTTCCACTTTTCAATAATACCACACACAGTTGATATTTAGGAGGGAAGAAGTGTCACAAACTGACTTGCTGCAACAGTGGCATCCTATTACAGTACCACACTCTAATTCAGTGAGATCTTTAGAATGACCCATTCTTTCACAGATGTCTGTACAGGCAGACTGCAAGGCTAGGTGCTTGAATTTATACACCAGTGGCAATAAGTCTGAATGAAACACCTGAATTCAGTGATTTGGAGGTGTGTCCTAGTACTTTTGTTTATAGTGTATTTCTCAATATACTTCTCTCTGTGAAGTTCCTGTCTGTTGGTTAAAACACTGTTAACACAAGGTGGCTGATATTTCTTAGCTCATAAGATACTACAGCCATGCTTCTGCAGTCTGAACTAGGTAAAGCCTCGACAAGCAGGGCTATAACTCAAGAATCTGTATGAATTCATGCGACTAGGGATAACTCATAGTGTAGAATAGTGTATATGTATAGCACCATAGTACCATACACCATAGTACCATACAGCATCTTTGAAAAGAAATATTTGAGTGCTTAGTAACATCTTATGTCAGTATTCACATTGTGACATGAGAGGTTTCATGAAGTAAATAACATTGTATTGGTGTAAAGGCCCCCATACTGAAGTGATAGCCATTGTTTCCATTTATAACACTGCATGTATCATCATGTATCAACTGTAAGTATCATTCTCAACAACTTATAGCAGTTCTGTGTACGATAACTTCAAGACACATTAAGATAAAAAAGATACATTTGCCAGCTTTAGATGGCTGAAATTTCATGCAGCATATATGTTTCGTGTCTTGACATCACATCGTATGACATGTCAAATATTTTTGTTTCTATTTAGGTCATTTTTAAGACTAGTAGAACAGTGGTGTAGTCTAATCTAAAGTAGTGGGTATACTGTGAGCTAGCACACAGCAAAATAAAACACTCAGCTTATATTTGTAGCACATATAACTGATAGAACATCTAGTGATACTTGTCAAACACCTCGTAGCTATTTGTAGAACACTTAGTGATATTTACAAACACGTTGCATTTGTAAAACACCTAGCGGTACTGGTAGAACACCTCATGCAGTCCTGGAGCCAGTGGGCATACTCTGATCCTGCTACTTCTGGCAGTGTGTCTGGGGAGTGACCAAAAGCCAGTTTAGCAAGGAACCTGATTTCCCTCCCCTGTATTAGTATGGCCAGGGTGCACAAGGCTGAATCTTTGACTGCAGAGCATGCCATGGGGACCAGGGGCAAGTGCTTGTCCCAGTCATGCTGTTGTGTAGATGTTAGGATAGCTAGCTGTTCTGCTAGGGTGCAGTTAAACCTCTCCACCAACCCATCACTATGGGGATGGAGAGGGGTGGTGCAGGCCTTCATGATTCCTAGTTGCTCACACATGATGGAAAGCATTTTGATTCAAAGTTACACCCTTGGTCACCATGAATGGATGGAGGGTTCCCAAACCGACTGAAAATCCCCTCAACGCAGGCTTCAGCGATGGTCTCTGCTTCCTGATCCAGGCCTCTGGCCATTTTGTGAAATACTACATCGACTCCTATTTGAGACTGCCCTTGAGGTCCTTTGCATACTGTACACAGGTCGCACCTCCTGCAGAAGTCCTCTATGTCCCACCTCACCCGTCCCCAGCAGAAACTCTGTCAGAGTCGCTGACCCTGACAAGATCCTTCAGAGCAATGCATGGCCTTTAAAACTACCTACTGCAGACCCCTGAGAATGACAACCTGCCATCTTCTTGCTCTTGTCACTGGCTTCAACCAGGCCCACTGTAGGACATCATCCACTAACCACAGTGTCAACTTTGGCCCACAGTCCTTTTGTGAATGGGGACAGTGGGGCCACTAACCCACCACATTACTAGCTGTAGGTCAGGGTCCTGCATCTGCTGTTCAGCCTATTTGTCACTGTCCACCTCCTGCAGTGCTGCACAACTTTTTGGCACTTGGAGTACTTGCATGCACCAGGACAGTGCATCAGCATTACCATCCTGCTTGCCTGCGGGGCCTCAAAAGCTGACTGACAGTCCTCTGACCAATTGAATTCTTGTCCTGTCTGGAGCAACCTGTACAAGGGGGCAGCAGTCCAAGGAACGTCAGTTCTTTGTTCAGGAATCTGCACTTCCCAGGGTATAATTTCAACCCTGCCACTCTGATTCTCTCCAGTGCTTTGCACATAGCAGTATCAGCAGAGTCAAATGAGTTTCCATGCACCTGTATGTCATCCAAGAAGACTAGGCAGTACTGTAGGAACCCTACAAAGAACAAAAGCAAAGGCCTCAAAATACCATAGCCCCCTACCTGTCCAGAATGCTGTCTTGGGGACACCTGTCTGTACCTGCTTCTCAAATCTAAAAATGAAAACTTGCATCTGCATCTTTTCCAAAGTTTTGTCTACAAGGCATCGAAGGCATTGTGGCTGCTGCTGTGCTGGTGTAGCATCCCCTGTGTTGATGCTGTGTGGCACTAGGTGAGTCTGCCCCAGCTCTCCCTCATGAAATGCAAAGCAGTTCTGAAACTCCACTAAGATCTACCAAAGCATCTCCTGCTGCTGTTCGTCCATCTTCCTTGCACTCTTTTTTTACCAGATTTCCCTCAGGGTTATCATTCTACTCTCTCCTCTGCTAAGTGGGGCCTGGTTCAGGTGTC